TATATATATATATGTGTGTGTGTGTGTGTGTGTATGTGTGTGTGTGTATATATATATATATATATGTATATAGTATTTCCAAAAGAACTACTTTTTCCTTTTCCTTTTTTTTTTTTTAGATCTATCCAGTCAGTTTTCATAGACTCCTTTTGCTTGAAAGTTTAGTTAGGAGAGTCCTTTTTTTTTTTTTAATGTCTTCAAACATTCCACACATACCAGTTTTAAATTCTGTATCTGTAATTCTTTGATCAAAATCTATTCTCTTGTTTCCTGTGAGTTTACATATGGTTGGTCTTTGTCTGTGGGATGCTTTGCTGCAGAGAAGATGCCAGGAGCCAGAGGGCCCTGCAGAACTGGGAGCCCCTGTAGCTCCTTCCCCCCAGGACTGCAGATGTGGGGCTCTTAGGTTTCTTGCCCCAACCCTGTCATGACCTTGCTGCTGTTCCCCTTAGAGCCGCCTTCACTTCTGCAGGTGCTGAGCACTTAGCGCTCACAGTGGTGGCTTCTCGGCTCATGCATCTGATCTGGGCAGGAGAGGAAGGGTGGGCTTGGGGCTTGGAGAGCATGTCTCACTGCAATTCCATCAGTGCAATAAAAAGTCTGTTTGGGGAGGCAAGGTCCTGCCACCTGTCTTGTCTGCCATATTGTGGAGTGATCTGGTTGGAAGAAGAGGCTGAGTCACACCATTCATGGCCCTGGAAGCCAAGCCTAGGCCAATGGAGACATGCTCATATGTTGGTGCCAGGAGAGAATGCCTCAGTATGTTCCACGGAAAACTCAGAAGGACCTGTTTGAGCTGAACCAGAGCCAGAGAAACAATCAGGCAAGGGCTGAAAACAGAAGGAAATGGAGAGGAAGGTACAGATGGAGGGATATTTGCAAACACTCTGACATCTAAGTGGTTAGAAGGCAGTGGGAAGAGGGAGAGGGTGGAATCAGGGTGACTTTGAAGTTTTATGACTAGAAATAGCATTGGAACCATTAATAGAAACAGATCCAAGTAGGAGCATTTGAAGATTATAGCAGATCTATTTTTATGTATGTTAATTTCATGTGAGGACAAAATATTTGAAGAGAATCCAGTCAAAATTATTGGATTTGGGGGTCAGAGATACAGATTTTAGAAATGTCCACATGTACTGGAAGTGACTACGTTTTGGAAGTAAATGACCCTGGGAAGGTGGGTGGAGAGGAAGTGGGGAAGACTGTGAACTAAGTATGGGCTATGCTTACCCTGACAGCTGCATGGAGAGGCTCCAGGAAGCAGAAAAAGAAGCAGTGATTTAAAAGATTGAAAGAAAAGTTGAATGTGGTGAGCAGGTGGCACACATGCCACGTGCACCCCTCCTTGCCCTGGGACAGACATTGCTAATTGATCACAGCACTCTTTCTCCAAGTGCCTGGAGCCAGCCTTGGAATCCTTAGCACGGGATTCCTGGCAGCTGCTCAAAGCTCTCTAAGTTACAAAGGTTGAGAACCATCTTGCCTTGCTCGCATAGTATCAGAGTTGAATGGCTCCAGAATTGGAGGTTTGTGTAGCATCTTTGAGATGCTTTATTTCCTCTAAGCTTCCTCTGAAAAGGCCACACAACAGGGCCTTGAAGCCCTCAAAGGAGTGGAATCAAAAAGTTCCACCTGTGGGATCTCTGAGGGAGAGAGAATCTCTTGAAAGTAGAAGCAGAAATGTCTAGTGACATAGGAAAAAGGAAGTGTGTGTCCAGCATACGTGGAAGGAGAAGACGGTGGTGGAACTGATGTTTAAGGTGATTGAAGAGCCACAGGATAGATACTGGAGGGAGAAGGCCGCTGGAAATTGGCAAGAAATGAATTCTGGTGGTCCCGTGATCACTTCTGCATGCATAGGTGAATTTTGTTTACATAATTCATAGTGCAAAGCCAGACTTTCCTTCAGCAATTTAATTTGAAAGTTTGGTCTTTGCATGAGGCATTGAGAGTATTTCAGCAGAGGATTCCCGGTTACCACTACTGCAGTGGAATGAGGCCAAAAAATACAGATGTTCCCGTGCCACAGACCTCTGTTGTTGTGTCTGTTGCTTTGTATTTAATCATCTGGAAGTATGTGTGTCCCTGTCCCCATCACACAGAGACACAGTCTCCTGCCTGCTGGAACCCTCGCACCCAGCATGGTGCCCAGCAGTGGGGAGGGGCCCTGAACCGCCGTGACCACATCAGTGCAGAGCGAGTTGGTTCTTTCCCTGTAGGTCAGTGAATGTAGCTTATGATTCTGGCTAGAATTTTAAACAGGAAAGCTTTATGGCAGACCAGTTGTGCAGAAGTTTAACTGGGAAAAAAAGACCCGACAAGTCCTGATCGGAGGGAGATTAGAACGTGCGTTTGAATTTCCCAGGTTGGGAAAGGGTGCGCCTGTTCGTCGCGCTCCTGATCCGCAGCTGCGCGCCCCGCCTGTGAATTTCACCAGGTCCCCCTGCTTGCCTTCCCTGTCTGTTCCCTGGGGTAGTTTTACATAAAAGAGATGAGTTTGGGGCACCAACTCACAAGAACCAGTGTAGAAAAGATTGCGGTCCATAGAATCAGGACAAAAAGCCCATGGATCAAGAAGGGGACCTTTAAAAATCCACCAAGGTAGCGTCGCAGCCAATAATTGTAAGATAATTACAGGTCGGCCATGAGGAAACCTATTTGAAAGTCAGATCTAATTTTTTAAACGACAATCTCCAGTGTCCAAGGGCATTCCTGGGGGTGGGCAGAGGGACCCGCAGGCCCCCCATCCACCCTTCCTCCTCCCTTTTTCACAGCAGGCGGTGGTGGTCTCTGACTCAAGAGCCCAGAGGATGGGGTAAAGTCCCTGGGGACTCCCTCACTTTCTAAACTCACACCACCAGCTCTTCCGAGCTCAGGAACCGGAGCGTGGGATGCTCGCGTTCCCTGCAGGCAGTCGGGGGACTTCCTCCAAAGGCTCTATGTCTTGGGGTTCAGCCCAGCCCCTCTCCTCTCCCCTTCGTAGGCCACCTTGTTCAGCCCCCTCCCGGAGCTGTTCTGGGTCTGCTGCACGTGAAGCCCAGCCTGGCCCCTTTCAAGGAGATGGGGGCCTCACTCAGCCTCTGCACCCCAGCGCTCTCCCACAGCCCCACAGTGCACCCTCGTCACAGGCGCTTTTAACTACTGCTGGGAGAGCCACAGACCTTTGAGAGGCTGCTGGGAGCCGTGGACCCTCTTGTCAGAGAAGCGCGAGGCTGGGCGCACTCACCCAGCTTTGGGTGCTGTTCAGAGCATGTTCTGCAGGTTGAGACCAGCCCACCGGCAGGTTAAATTCTAAAAAGGCAGTGGTGCTGATTTTACATTGAACACGATACTGTTGTTATCAGAGTATATAAAGATTTCACGGGAAGGTGGCATGGTCCTGTTTCCGTGGCACTCAGTGTTTGTTTAGGGGAGCGGTTCCCCAGACCTGGCGGTGTGTTGAGACGGACACAAGCATCCTGCCCCCACCCGCCTGGGATCACCTGGTCAGTGGGAGCATCTCTCAGCCACAGCAGTGGGAGCTGCTGCTTCTCTGAGACTGCAGAGGAGGAGGAGAGGACGGCTGGAGATGGTTGCAGTTGCTTCAGTGACCAGCTGATGGAGCATCCTTGTCTTAGAGGCCACAGGGCTCCTGGTGAGGCAGGGTTTTGGGGGAGAAGCCCAAATAAGGGGCAGGGCCAACCTGGGCAGCCAGGAGTTCTGCAGAGATCAGGGACCGTGAGAGATGCTTGAGACAGCAGGTAGAGGAGCCAGGACTGTGGGAGATGGAGGTCTCTGCAGTAGATGCGAGCATGCAGGATGGCCACGTGTGGATGACAGGTAATGAACTAAAGCAGTGGTCAGCTAGGTGGGCCGCAGTTTATTTGCATTAACAGTTGCTCACCAGGGGATCGTGACACAGCTCGTTCAGCAACCAGTGATTGGAAATGACCGATCAGGAGAGATGTGGTACCTAAGACTCTGGCTCCAGACTTCTTAGTGGTTATTTGTAACTGGTTGTGCTCTCGGGGTAGCCTCTCCCCTCCCTCCACGTGTTCTGTGGCCACGGTGGGCGGCAGATGAGAACAGAGGACAAACGCCGGTGCTCGAGGGGGGATCCCGGGGCCCGGACCCTTTGTGCACGTCACAGAGCCAGTGGGAAACACAGTGAAGAAGGTGGCTCCCCACCAACATTCTAAGGGTGAGGAAATGAGCCTCAGATAGGTTGAGAATTTATCCAGGCGGCAGGTGGTGTAGCAGGATTTGAATTCCACTCCCTCTCCCAGACTGAGAATGTGGAGTGGGAGACTGCCTCACTCTGCCTGGTCTTCTGCCCCAGAAGGACAGACGACATCCTCATGCGTCCCTCTTGGCCACGGTGTATCTGTGCCTTGGAGCACAGATGCGTATAAGAAAATTAAATGGCACCCTGGGATTAGCCGTACTCACTTGATTTTCATCCACTGTAAATACCAGCGGCTGGCAATGAGTTACAATATTATGTCCCTGAGCTGCTTCCTCTGTGCCCAACACAGAGACACTGACATCACACACTGATGTTCATTTTTCCTCATCCCCTGAGCACCGATTGAAACCTGGCTAAGCCATGCTGGCTTTAAGGACCAATCTGGAGTGTTTGGAGGTCTGTGGATTCAGATCTTCGCCGTGCGGGCGGCGGGTCCTGTGTGTGCCTCGGCCCCATGCGGGCGCGATTGAACCCAAAGGCACTTTCATGCCCGAGGACTGGCAGAGGGCCGCGGTCTCATGAAAGCTAAACTCTTCATCCCATCCCCACCACTCTGTGTTTCAGAACAAGAAGAAAACTTTGAGTTTATCATTGTGTCCCTCACTGGCCAGACGTGGCACTTTGAAGCCACCACCTATGAGGAGCGAGACGCGTGGGTCCAGGCCATCGAGAGCCAGATCCTGGCCAGCTTACAGTCGTGCGAGAGCAGCAAGAACAAGGTGAGACCCGGCATGAAGAGCCACTGATCCTGAAAGGGAACTGGGGCCCCAGGGAAGTGCCCAGGGGACGGGAGAGCAGGATGTGAGGCGTGTGTTTGGCAAGACGTGACTCCTTCTGAGCAGAAAGCTAAATAATTGAAAAGATAAAGAAACATCGAGTCGATGTGTGTTCTGTGCCACATACCAGGATCCTAGCCTAACCATGTTTGGATGGCAGAATATCCCGTTTTAAATCTTGACACTCAACTGATCCCAAGTGTAAAGCGTTGACCTTTGATGGTTGATGATGGAGTCTTTTGGAACCTTGTGGCTTCTGTGTCCACACTGATTTTTGGTCTAGGCAGAATACACTCAGGAAAAGAGTGCACACACTTAAAAAGATGCACTGTTCCATTCTTATAAATGCCCTGAATTCAAATCCATAGCAGGTTAGAAAACTGACTCTCTGTACAGGCGTCGGTGAAAAACGCATGCACGTATGTGAGCGTGCGAGAAATTTAGGGAAGATAACGTGTCCGTTTTCTAAACTCTGTTGATAAAGCCTGGTATGTGCTTTATTCAACTAGAGTTCGTTCTTACGCATCTGTTAAGCCAGGGAAAAAAGACTGTAACCTGCGTGTTCTGAATTACTGCCCAGTGGTGTTCCTTACACAAAGGTCATTTTTCCCATGTCCTTCTTCCCATCAGAGGATCCTTCAAAGTCAGTGTTTTCATGCGTGGATATTTTTAACCCTTTCTCTAGGACACTTTTAAGGTCTTGGAGAGCACTTTGATCTTATCAAACTACGAACAACTAGAAGCCAAGAGAAAGGACATTGTCTACCAACCTGCAGTTTCATTCGTAACCATTTAAAGAAATTCCTGCCAGTGATTTATGTTCAGCTTTGTCATTAAGAAGGGAGTCTGCCTTTCAGAAAGATGGAGTGTCTTATTTTATTACCCTCTTTAACCAGGGTAAACCAGACCACAGTCATTATTATTATAATGTAATTTGCCTCTCTTTTTTAAAGATGTTTTATACCCACAGCGGGGAGAATCGCTGCCTTTCATTTCTGAGCACCTTGGCTTTGCGGAGTCACGGCTGCAGATGTGGCTCTGAAGCAAACTTAGGGTGCTCTCAGGTCTCCTGACAGTGGGACCGAGGACATGTGTCACCCACAAAATTCGGGAACTTAGTTTTGGAACAGGCGTGGGGAGGGCACGTGTGGCTGAACAGACAAACGCATCTCCAAATTGTGCAGAAAATCACAGCATCTCAAGTCAGGCTGTGAATCCATGCCACACCGTGGGATTCAGGAAAGCGTGGGACAGCATTACTCACCAGACTCCTCCCCACCCTCTACTCTGTGAAAACAGATGGCTTCACGTCTGAGCCTGATGCGCACGCCAGCCTTAAAACGCTGCCCCTTCTCTCTCACTACTCATGTGCCCTCCTCGCAGCACTCTCCCTGGGAGGGGGGCTCCCTGAGCACCGAGGATAGCAAACTCACACCTGTTCACCTTGGGCGCCTGCTGGACAGGCGTGAGGGTGCACAGCGTGGAAATACTATCCACAAGGAACAGCTGGAGGGGGAAAGACAGCCTCAGCTGAGAACGGGCCACGCGCTGTTCTGGCTGCCCGTGGATAATGCAGAGTGGGTAGCAACTGCAGACGGACGTATACATACATGTAGCATCGAGTTTATAGAGGTAGACAGAGGCAGACAGAAACATCCCTGTTTGTGCGCATGCACACACACACACACACACACACACACACACACCACT